GTGCATGCAACCTCATAAAGCAACGAACAGCAAGACAGCCTGATGCTCTCTGTACCCTCATGACTGCAGGCTGCCTCTTTCCTGGCCCCTGTTGGCTGTGCACCCAACTCACTTTGCTTCTGTTTCTTATTTCCACCCGGGCAAGGCCCACCTCCCTTCAAGACCTCACCAAACCCCTCCTGCCACACACCAGGGAAGCAAGAGCTCAGGGAATTTCCCAAATGCAAGCGCAAAGCACAGAGCTGCTACAGAGCACCCGTAACTCACACAGCACAAACATGACCTAAGGTCTGAGAAACCAGTCTCTCCTGCTCTTCTAAGGGCTTTCACAAACTAAAATGCCTCATTTCCTCCAGCTCAGTCTCCTTACTGCCCTTTGTCCTCTCCTGGCCCTTGGCAAGGTGCAATACATGCACAGGATCAAAAGAAAATCAAAAGCTTTGTTTAGGATGGAGCTGTGGCCTCAATCCTTGGTAGCTAACCCCGGCACAAGACTATTGTGGGCATAGCTTCTGTCCACCCAAAAGGTAAGGTGAGAGCTGGAGGGAGGGCACAGCTGCATCTCCAGCTCATTGAGAACTACAGCTGATCACTGTCCTTTGCCTGAGGGCTACCATGGTCACCTGGGTTGAGCTCCAATCAAGATGAAATGCCACTGCAATTCTCCTCCTCCAAAAAACTAGCTTGGTGTCATGAAAACTGAAGACATCTTGATGACGAGAAGAAATACACATTACTTCATGCTGGACAAAGGTACAAGTGCAAGAATCACTATAAGAATACTCCAAAGCCTGGAAGCTTCCTCCAGGGGCAGGATGGAAAGAGCTTCCCAGCTGACTGCAGCCCTGGGCCATGTGAGGGACACCATGATGTCTCCCTACCTGACCAAGAGCAGAGGGAAGCAGTCCAGCCAAACCAGGAATGACCTTCATTCAGATGAAGATCTAAGGGAACAGGCTCTTTGGGAAAAAGAAACTTGCCTGAGGGGGATGGGAAGGGACTTGTTTGGTGCACACAAGGATGGACACAATCTCTCTGGCTGGGAGGGTGAACGAGCAGTGGAGGAAACGTGGCAAGCAAATAACTCTTAACAACTTGTTTGGCTTGTTTACCATTTGTTTTATCTTTTTTCAAATTTTGTCCAGTTAATTTTTCAACTATAATTTCTTTTTCTTATTCCATTTGCTGCTGTTGAAGGAAGAAGGGAGGGAAGGCTGAAGGGGAAGGAACAGGAAAAATGGGAAGAAAAGAAACAGAATGAAGAAAGGAAAAGACAAATATAAGACTTTTTGGTTGATTTCTTTTCTAACAAGCTATTTTTTTGGCTTTCCTTTCTGGAAAGAGGGGTGAAAATGTTTTTTTAATGAAAAAAAAACCCGTCCTAAAACACCAAAGTGATAATTAGGTGCTTGATGGGTGTCTGCTCTTTCTTCTACATACAGTGTTTTTTGCTCCAACTAGGAGGAGCAGCACAGCATGGCCATCTCACAACTTTCCTTGGACTTCAACTTTAAATGCATCAAGCCTTGGCATGTTATCACCAATTACAGGAGGCAAAAATATTTCTCTCCCGCCCCTCCATAACATCCCTTCAATAACATATTTACATCCTGGTGATGCACAAGGAGGGAGCAGTTTCCCATCAGGCTCTGAGATCTCCAGAAGTGCCCAATTCCAGGGGCTGATGGAGACCTGTCAGATCTGCCGTACGCAGGCAGCAAAGCCTGAGATGTTTGTATCAGCTCAGCAAACCATTACTTGGTCTCTCACCACACCTGCATGCTGGGGGTCTCAGAGCAAAAGGCAGCCATTGGTGGCATTAGCCCCTGTTCCCCCAGCTGGGCGTACCTGGGTCACTGAGCTTTCCCTTAAGCTTCTTCAGACTCTGTCAATCCCATCCAAAGCATCTGGATCAATTTCCTGATCCTGGGAATTTTGCGATTGCTTTCAATGGGGACAGCAATACCTCCTCTGACTTTGTTAAAATATGCTGCTTCCAGGCCGAAGTGGGACGCTACTATCACATTATACATCAGCAACAGAGGAACCGGTTCCTGCAGTATTTATTTTCAAGAACGCAGACCCACCTTTGTGCTCAAAACTGAAAAGTGATTTATTTCTCTCTAGGATTTTCACAGTGTTACCCGACTACTGAGAAAAAGGAGTGAACGCATCTCCACAGCTTCTCTGGCAGAACGACTCCACCTTACATCTTAAAGACATGGCAGCAGGAGCAAAGGGGTTAAACGTCCTACCGAGGGTCCTACAAGAAACCGGTGTTAATGCCCAAGACTGAATCTGGATGGCAAGTCCCAGCCCTTTAACTTTCCTTTCTGTTGCTTGAAGAAGAGAAGGCGGGTTCCCTTCTCCAAACAAATACCACCGTTTTGACCACGGGTGCCACCAAGGCAGCCACAAGCCCATTCCTGAAATCAAACCTCTTCTGCACAACCGTACTGCAGCCCCGAGGGTGGGGAGGCAGCCACAGGGCAAGCACACTGCAGACACCCGGTGCCCCTTGGGGCTAGTGATTTCTCCAGTTGATCCAGCTGTGCCACCCTGGCTCTGCTGCTCCTTGGTGGCAGCCGCCGGCTCCATGCAGAGACCCACTGTGGGGAGCTGCTCCCCCCACCACATCCTGAGCAACGCCGCTGGGAGGGAGAGGAAAAACCAGCAAAACCCTTACCGTGAGGCCTGGCTGCAAGCCTCTGGGTGTTACTTTCCTCCCCTGACTGTGGCTGCAAGGTGGCATTTAGGCCTTTAAAAAAAAAATAAAAATAAAATCAACGGTGTCTTATGTGATGCCGCAGTCCTTTGCAGGGAACAAGAATGAGGTTTGCCAGATATCTCTGCCTTTTACAGTAAATCGTCTCCAATCAAACAATAATGTCCCGGGGAGAGGTACAAATTTTGATGCTTGACTTTTCAGTGTTCATTCCGCCAACGATTTGTAGGTTTTAGTTTTTAAAGGAAAGGAAATTAAATGGGGAAAAGATCGCCCTATGCTAATTCGCCAGTTAAACTCACAGGAAACGGCGGAAGATAAGGTTCCCATAGCAATTGGAATAGGTACCGCATTGCACAGATGAGGCCCGATTTTCCCGCTTACTTTCAGGGCTGGTGGTTTATCTCCCCACAGCACAGGGAAAAGCAATTACTTGGAACGAGGAACAAGGGAGAGGAGCCTGTGGCATCTGTGATTCTTTTCAATGGCCATTCTCCGGCGCGGTTTGGATGCGCCGCTATTGCAGCACAGCCATGGACCGCCACGCATACCCTCCACCACAGCAAAGCTCCTGGGGGGATCCTGCCACCGCCTTTTCCTGTGGTTTTAACTGTGAAATTCTGACGGGCGTTCAAGCAGGCTTTGGCAGGGAGTTTTACAGCCCTGGCCTCCACAGGACAGAGCTGTGTGGCTCCACACCAAACGCCACATGCGAACGCAGTCCCTCCCCGCCATCGCCTCACGTTCATGACTGCCCTGGCAACCAGAGACCTTTAATTTGACACAATCTGCTTCCAGTGAACCCATCTTACCTATTAATTATCGCTTTATCTTGCCTGAGCTTATGATTATTGCACCCGATTATGTCTGCCTTGTCCCCTGAGCAGTCATCTGCAGCAAAGCAGAGGGAGCGCAATCCTTCTCCCGCCCTCGCCCCAAAGCTACTCCGCAGCATGGAATCAGGCCCATCAACTCCTTCATTAATTCCTCTACAAAATGCCCCAGCAGTGCAGTTAAATTTGTGGGCGTGCAGTCCCCAGGGTCTCGTTTCTCCCTGCTGTGCTGCGGCTCTCTTTTCTTCTGCTCTGGGACTTTTCCTGCACTCCATGAATTTCGTGAAAGAATTGTCAAAAATTCAGCTCTTTCGCTCTGGGATGCGTTTTCACTGAGCTGTGTGGTTTTGACCAGGAGCAAGGCCCTACACAGTTATTCCTCACCCTCTTTCCAGCCTGAGACTGCCTTGAGAGCCATCATCAATAACTATGATTGCATCGAGCACCCTGTCACTCTCTTTCCTTTTAGTGACAACTGAAGCTGTAACTACTAACACTGCAGCCTCCTTTTATCACTGCCTGTGATATGTTCCTGGCTCCCTCTCCCTCATACGTAGGTGACCTGGCAATGCACTTTCCTTTGTCATCCTCCAGCTTCTTATGTACTTCTGAACCAACTTACTTATTCCCTGTGCTAACGCCCCATCGTTTTGTGCCTTTGCATCCCTAACTTTGCTCCTGCACACCTTTATTCTCTGCTCTCTCTCACCACTGTGGTTTCCTTTCCTCCTCCTCCAAACATGACCCCCTTTTTTCTTTTTTTGTTAATACGTTGTTTTTCTCTTCCCCACCAATATCAGTACTTCTGACAAAAGTGTGTTGCTCTCTCCCCAGCTGCTGACAGGGAGAATTGTCCCCAGGGAGTCAAAAGAAAGGCTGTCCCTTGTGGATGCAACCAGGTGGCTGGAAGGAGCGGGTGTCCCAGATGCTTCTGTCTCAGGCGTGAAGGAGAGAAGAGCCCAGGAGAGAAAAGAAACCACTTTGGGAAGGAGAGGGTGAATCAGTCCGGGGCATGAAGGAGACTTCCCCAGTGTCTTAGAAGTGGGTTTCTCTCTCTGTGATGCTGAGAACCTCCTGGATGGGTGGGGACCATCCCTGGCGCTTCAGTTCGGACAGACCCACCATGTGCTTCTTCGGCTGAGGCAGGTCCTCCGCTGGGGAAATCAGCTGTGTCAGCCGCTGCGGAGAGGAAGTCTCTGTTAATTAAGCTGATAAACAAACTGACACCCAATAGTGATCCACAACCATCGCTGGGGGCAAAGGCATCTAGAGAGCTAGAGTTCCCCGCTCCCCGCTCCTCTCCTGTGGCATGGCTGTGAAAGGGAGAGGGAGGAGAGCAGGCTCACTTTAACTGCTCTCGATGATGATTATTCCACCCCTGGGCTCAAACCCAGGCCCTGGACTCACAACCTGACACCTTTATTCTCTGCTCTCTCTCACCACTGTGGTTTCCTTTCCTCCTCCTCCAAACATGACCCCCTTTTTTCTTTTTTTGTTAATACGTTGTTTTTCTCTTCCCCACCAATATCAGTACTTCTGACAAAAGTGTGTTGCTCTCTCCCCAGCTGCTGACAGGGAGAATTGTCCCCAGGGAGTCAAAAGAAAGGCTGTCCCTTGTGGATGCAACCAGGTGGCTGGAAGGAGCGGGTGTCCCAGATGCTTCTGTCTCAGGCGTGAAGGAGAGAAGAGCCCAGGAGAGAAAAGAAACCACTTTGGGAAGGAGAGGGTGAATCAGTCCGGGGCATGAAGGAGACTTCCCCAGTGTCTTAGAAGTGGGTTTCTCTCTCTGTGATGCTGAGAACCTCCTGGATGGGTGGGGACCATCCCTGGCGCTTCAGTTCGGACAGACCCACCATGTGCTTCTTCGGCTGAGGCAGGTCCTCCGCTGGGGAAATCAGCTGTGTCAGCCGCTGCGGAGAGGAAGTCTCTGTTAATTAAGCTGATAAACAAACTGACACCCAATAGTGATCCACAACCATCGCTGGGGGCAAAGGCATCTAGAGAGCTAGAGTTCCCCGCTCCCCGCTCCTCTCCTGTGGCATGGCTGTGAAAGGGAGAGGGAGGAGAGCAGGCTCACTTTAACTGCTCTCGATGATGATTATTCCACCCCTGGGCTCAAACCCAGGCCCTGGACTCACAACCTGAGTTGACAGGCTGAGGGAGCTGGGGTTGTTCAGCCTGGAGAAGAGGGGGCTCCAGGGAGACCTAATAGCAGCCTTCCAGTACCTGAAGGGAGCCTACAGGAAGGCTGGGGAGAACCTGTTTAGAAAGGCCGCAGTGACAGGACGAGGGGAAATGGCTTCAAGCTGGAGGGGAACAGATTTAGATTGGAGATCAGGAGAGGGTTCTTCACTGTGAGGGTGGTGGAGCACTGGAACAGGTTGCCCAGGGAGGTGGTTGAGGCCCCATCCCTGGAGATATTCAAGGTGGGGCTCAAGCGAGGCCCTGGGCAACCTGGTCTAGTTGGGGGTGTCCCTGCTGACTGCGGGGAGGTCGAACTAGATGACCTTAAAGGTCCCTTCCGACCCAGATGATTCTATGATTCTATGATTCTAACCCAACATACAGGGCTCCTCACTGACATCTTTCTGGGAGGAAGGATGTTAGCAATTAGCCCCACAGAAATTTTCTATGGCCATGAAAAAAACACCATAAGGCCCTTTGTGGTTGTTTTTTTCCCTATTCCATGCTGTGCTTCCCACTGACTTTGGTGGAAGCTGCAGAGCCTTCCAAATGGTCTGGCCATCAGAAAGTGCTGGGCATCTCCTGCAATGGTCTGAAACAGGGTGGCAGGTGATACCTGCACCAATGACACTTCCCTGGTAAAGCAGCCCTTCCACAGACTCGTTCCTGCTCCCAAGCCATCCCAGCTCCCTCTCACAGCCAGAGGGACTGTGATGGTGCAGGCACCACCAGGGGTTGTGGGGTAGATGCCTGCCCTCAGCTCCCCCTGCCCTCTGCAATGCAGCCATGGCTGCAGGCTGTTCCACACACACGGACGCTGGTGTTGCCTCAGCTTCGGGGCAATTTATCCTTAAAAAAAATATGCAAAGAACTTGGAGCTCCCCGGGAAAAAGTTGCCATCCCACAGAAACCTGCTGTGAATTTCCAGTCTTTCTCCTCCCATTTTAGAAGCCCCTCTGGTATCACACACCTTTCCTGAGCACCTCAGCTCCTCCTAAAGCCAAGCACCACACAGACTCCTACAACCACCTGCCCGGCTCCATGTGTATCACTTCCCTGCTGAATACGGACTTTCACAGTTCCTAACTTTTTCCATGACACACTGTTCACACCAGTGCACACTCCTGCCTTGCAGAGAGCATCACAAGCAGAGCAGGCCATTCATCCGTGACTCGTTGGATTAATTTCAGGGCTGCCACTCCTTGTGAAGCGTGCCTGCCAGAATCCTGGATTTTGCTCATTTATTCAAAAGTGTTTGCCCAATGATTTCTGAAATAGGCCTTGGCCTGCAGCTGCTCTGTGAGCAGTTCATTGTGAGTTTTTGGTCTTCTGAGCTGGAGCTGTCTTAATCAGGCACATTAGGAAACAACATTTGTGTTTCTTGGTCAGTCAAGTGTAACAAGGGGAATCAGTTTGTCGCAGTGACTGATCATAATTACCAATTACAAACTTGCTTTCAGTGAATGGTTTGCAATATTCAGTTGAAAGGCACTGCTCCTGGAAGCATCTGCGTCAAGAAATTATTCACTGCATTTCTGAGGTGTGACTGGAAAAAGGCAACAGGTATATTTTGAGAAAACCTGTTTTCAAAACAGAAGCTACTATTCCAGGAGGTATCATGTGGTTGGCTTTGATTCTCCCTTGAATCAGGCAGGCTTAGCAGCTGATTCCTTCCTACATGCCAAAACCACATCCTTGGAAGTTTCTTCATATTAATGTAACTGAGAAGTCCCTGGAAATTATCACTAATAATATCACCTAAACCAGGGCAAATATAAAATCCCTCAATCTGAAATTGGCCAAATCAGTTCTTTGGATGTGCTATAAAATAAACATTAACGCTACTCACAGCAACGTTTCAGTGCAAAGGCTCAATGCACTTTGCAACAGGTGAGAACTGTTGCTTGTTTAGCAGGCAGGACATTCGGGTAATTACTTCACCCGTAGCTCCAGGTCCTCATTTAGGCATATGGAACCTCTGAGCTGTGGGGAGTCACACAGGTTGTGAGCCACCCAGACAAACTCTTCAAATTGGCCATGGGAAAGGACAGATGCATTACTGCTAAATGGCCCAGAGCACAGAAGAGGGCTGTAAGAGGCAGGACTCAAGGTCTGAACTTGGAGCAAACCATATCACCACACCTGGGCACAAGATTCACCTGGAGTTCCTCAAACTGGGAGGTGCACAGCTGCCAGCTCCCTCTCAATCTTGTCATATCTTCGTGGCTACCAATGGCAACCAGGAGGCCCAAGGGCTAAAGGCAGGAGCTGTTTCACAGCATCGTGCTTCTCCTCTGCCCCCCTGCCCGCACATCTTATGCCCCTCGCACTGTGTCACTGAAGACTTTCATCGCTACCATTCCTGCCTGAACATTGCACTGTATCTTCTCCTGAGCCTGAAATGGGCATTAGCCAGCTCTGACACAATTGCTGTCACTCCTTATTAAGTCATATCTCCCAGCCAGCAAATAAGAGCCCCTGTGGGCACACATTCACCTTCCCTGAGGCAACAGAGCCAACAAGGACATCCTGCACCCAGCCCAGCCCTGACTGTGTTTGCTGTGCAGGTTCCTCTTCCCTGTGACCCCACAATATGACAGTCACACCTACACCACTGTCACAGAGATGCTCCCATCCCCTGTTCACCTGCTCCCCACCCCTCGACCGGCTGCAGATGAACCTACAGTCAGTGAGGATGGGGAAGGACCAGAAGAGAAATTGTGCAGAACTTTATATTCACTGTACATCACTCAGGTCTTTCTTCATGGGTCAGGTGGGGTATCATGTCTATGTCATCATCTTCCTAGACATGTGTCTTCCTAGGACAAGGTGTCTACAGTGAAAGAGGACAGGCTTGGGCATGGCACAGGGTAGACCTTTACAACTCTGTGAGCATGTCCTCTTTAATAGCCACATGCCATTTCTTCAAATAAAATAACACAGTCCCAGGACTAAGAAGGGAGCAAGGCCAAGGGACAATAAGTAAAGACAAAACAGATTCTGGTTTTGCACCTGGTTTGCACTGGCACTAGTCAGCAATGAAAGAGGAGACAAAGGTGGTGGCATGCCATCTTTAACTACATGGCCAGCATGACCACCTGACCCATAACCAAACCAATCAGTCTGTCATCTCAGATAGCCCACACTCAGGGTGTCCTCTGCCATGCAGTGCAGCCAGTGTTAGAGATGCTTTGCATACATCCACATACTGCATTGAGCACGGTGGTGCAAAGTCTCATGGGAGACTCTGGACATTGGATGATCACCCTGGAAGCTGTGCTGAGACTCTCCAAGCCCTCCAAATTGCTAGCAAGAGCTATGGGGCATTCTGAGCAAGAGCCACTCTCACCCACTTTGCCTTTTCAGAGAAGAAATGTGCCACATACATCTTCCCTGTAGCCCTTCCCATAGGCCATCTCGGGGAAGGAGAAGCAACTCGCCCAGTGACCACAATCCCAGTACCTGCTTCAGGGGTCCTTTGGTTTTCAGGAGGATGAAGATGGCGTAGAGAGGAATGCAGACCATGGAGGAGAGTGCCATCAGCCAGCCCACCACGTAGCCCCAGGACGGGTACACGTAGGTGTTGTTGTATTTCAAAGGTGTGTACTTGATCAGGGAAAACAGGAAGACAGCCTGAGGAGCAGAAAACATGGACATAGTCAGCCCAAAGGGAGCAGCAAAGCTGGGAAGCCTGGCCCCCCTGCAAGCACCAGCTGGGTGGCAATGAATGTGATGCCTTACATGAGCTAGCTGGGGTGAGGCAGAGCTTGGTGTACGCTGACCACACAAGGAGTTATCTCAGAGCCAGGGCCAGGTTTCTCTGCAGTGCAAAGCCTTCAGGCTTCTTAAGGGTTCAACCTCAGCAAAGTTGACAGCAGTTTTGAGGGTCCAGCAACATTGAGACATTCATATAAAAGTCAGGAATTGTTGTGGTCCCTGGCAGAAGCCCTCCAGAAGTACCACGTTGGCACAGATTTACCACTCTTGGGACTCTCTAGCCACAGAGCTCTCGGATGATTTGGGCTGGATCAGGCTTGCTTTTAAAATTTCCCTGATATTCAGCTCCTGCTGGAGGCCAAGGACAAAGGACTAGAAATGTTTTGCAAGCTGTAGCTATAGATCCCATCTGTGTTCCCACTGAGGTCAGAGAAAACAACTCTCAACAATGGAAGCAGGAGCAGAATTTGGCTCAGAAATCATGTAAAATCAGTGGAGCAAGACTGGACGTAAATTCAAAACAGGCAAGAACTCACCTGACTTAGGGTACATTTTCTTTAAACACAGTTGTCGCAGAAGTTTTAAAAGAGATTTAATAACATATAGAGCAAATGGCCATGGAAAGACATTTCTCAATCACATCAGGCCACAGGAACAGGCTGATGCAAGTATTTCAGAACAAGGTAATTTTCACTGGTCTTCTATTCGAAAGTAATTTGACCAAACCTCTCCAGACTTTGAGCATACATTTCCCTCTGCCTTGACAGTAAACAAGTGGCTTTTCAGGCTCAATTAATTTTGCAGGCAAAAGATAAGGCTTTACATAGGAGATAAATTGCCTCCTTAGCTATGGACAAGCTTCTGCTTCTCCACAGCAGTTTGAAAAAACTACAGCAGCACCATGAAGACAAATCAATCTTTTCTACTGAGAACCCAGGGATCCAGAATGGTATGCCATGGTCTCATAATTGCACTTACCAAGCACAGACCTGGGGTGAACACCAGCCAGCATATCTTGATCAAGGGCCACGGCCGGAAACCAATCATGTCCTCAATGTTGTCATAGAAGCGGTTGGCACCTTGGCCACCAGCCAGCACAGAGATGAAAATCAGAGGTCAGATCATTGTTGGTTTTGTTTCAACTACCACTCACATCAGAACCCAACTTTCTTTACTGTCAGTGTTTACTCCTGGCAAAAATGCCACTCTCCTAATAACATAGCTGCAGTCTTTCCTGGCATTGAAAAGGCCCATCTGTGGCTAAATACAGATGAAAGCCTTTAACTTCAGCCACAAGTTACCAGAAAGCCTGACAGGGAAGAAATGCTCTGTCCTTCAGACAGCATCAGCTGTAAGTGAGAGGGTGAGGCCCATGTGCCACTAAGAGCTGGTATGGACCAGCACAAGGCAAAGAGGGGGTCTGGCTTATAGGTCAGCAAGGAAAAGCTATTGCAGGCTGAGCACATGAGATTGTGTGAGCCCAGAGTGCTGAAAGGAACAGAAAGAGTGAGGGACACCGAACAAAACCCTTTATTTGTAACCAGATTGGCACACCAGGGAAGTCATGTCAATAATATCCACTGAGCTGGGCATTTCCCCTGTCATCAAGAGCCTGCTCTCCACAGAATTATATTTTTTTTTGGCCTAAGCCCAGAAGACCTGGCAACTCAAACTCTGCTGGAAACCAAATCTTCCATCTGCAAGTGCTGCTGTACTGTCCAGTGGGAGCTGTCCTGTGGTCCTGTGGGCACGTGATCTCATAAGTTCTTCTCTCATTAGTTATCTCTCTCCTCTCTCTCTTCTTCTCTCATTAGTTTCACTTACTAGATCATGTTGTTCACAGTATGTGGCACCCACCTGAATCTCATGGTGCACCAGAATGGGATATACATCTGAAGAACATCTAAAAGTCCTGCCACTGGCCAAGCCCTAACTGTTGACTCTTCCCAACCCAAAGCACAAAGAGGAGGTGTATGCAATGGTATAAAGAGGAGATGATGTAACACAGATAGACTTCAGCAGATCTTGTAGTAAGCTCTAGGATGTCTTCAAAGATCAAGTGCCTAGTGTTGGCTAGAAAGAGATGTGAAATGAAGAATCAAAAAGTCATTCATAAGATGCCCTAACACCTTCCTAACCTAGAGCTTCACCAGACTGCCACATCTTCTCACACGATGGATAATATCTTAGCAACTTCATCCGCCAGTTCTCTCATCAGGTCCCATGTACTTTTGTACCTTCAGGTTCCTTAGATGGTTTTGAACCTGATCTTCTACAGTGGGTGGTTCTTCATTCTCCTAGTCCCTATCTTTACCTTCTGTGACTTGGGCAGTGTGGCTAGAATACTTGCCAGTGAAGACCAAGGCAAAAAAGTCATTGGCCACCTATATCCTGGGTGAGCATGTCTCCCATTTCCTTCCAGAGAAGGCCCACATTTTCCTTCGTTTTTCTCTTATCGCTGATGTACCTGTAGAAGCTTTTATTTTTATCCTTGACATCCCTGGCCAGATTTCATTCTCTCTGGGCTTTAACTTTCCTAACCTGATCCCTGGCTACTCAGATATACTTGCCAGTGAAGACCAAGGCAAAAAAGTCATTGGCCACCTATATCCTGGGTGAGCATGTCTCCCATTTCCTTCCAGAGAAGGCCCACATTTTCCTTCGTTTTTCTCTTATCGCTGATGTACCTGTAGAAGCTTTTATTTTTATCCTTGACATCCCTGGCCAGATTTCATTCTCTCTGGGCTTTAACTTTCCTAACCTGATCCCTGGCTACTCAGATAATTTCTCTGTATTCCTCTCAGGCTACCTGTCCTTGCTTCCACCCTCTGTCCGCTTCCTTTTTGTGTTTGAGTTTGCCCAGGAGTTCCTTGTTCATCCCTGCAGGCCTCCTGGCATTTTTGGCTGACTTTTTTGTTGGGATGCATCACTCCTGAGCTTGGAGGAGATGAGCTTTGAATATTAACCATCTTTCTTGGGCCCCTCTTCCCTCCAGGGTTTTAGCCCTTGGTACTCTACCAATCAGATCCCTGAAGAGGCAAAAATCTTCTCTCCAGAAGTCCAGGGTAGTAAGCTTACTGTGCACCCTTCTCGCTGTCCTGTGGATCTTGCTGTCCTCCTCCATTTCACGGTCACTATAGCCAAGGCTGCCCTTGACATTCACATTCCCCACCAGCCCCTCCTTGTTGGTGAGAACAAGGTCCAGCATGGCATTTCACCTCATTGGCTCCTCTATCACTTCAAGAAAGAAGTTATCATCAACACATTCCAGGAATCTCCTGGATTGCTTGTGCCATGCTGTGTTGTCCCTCCAACAGATATTGGGATGGTTGAAGGTCCCATGGGTTTCCAGGGCTTGTGAACGTGAGGCTGCTCCTACTTGTCTATAGAGGGCCTTATCTGCTTGACCTTTCTGAATGGATGGCCTGTAGCAGACCCCCACTGTAGCAGACTCCCTTTAATCCTAGCCCACAAGCTCTTGATCTGCTCCTCATCCATCACCACGCAGAGCTCAATGCACTCCACCTGGTCCTTGACATAGAGGGTGACACTCTCCTCCTCGTGTCTCCTGCCTGTCCTTCCTGAGGAGTCTGTATCCTTCTTTTCCAACACTGCAGTCATAGGAGTCATCCCACCACATCTCTGTATGCCAATAAGATCATAGCCCTGCAGACGTGCTCACGTCTCTAGCTCCTTTTGTTTACTGGTGAGTTTTATTTTGGTTTGTGATTTTTATGTCCTAGAGTGTAATTCTCATATTATGTTTCATTTAAATATATAAATTCTTCAAAAGCATATTATGTGGGCTTTTCTTTTTTGTAATTCTTTGCATTATTTTCCATATCCCATGACTAATGCTTGCAGGAAGGCTCTTTTAAACCCAGCTTTT